ATTCTCATCCACCCCCATGTAAGAGGTGATATTAAGCATCTGCCTATATGAAATGACAGTATTCACTCTGCTATTCTGTGCTTTTACAGCAGGAAAACAGGTATTTTTTCAACAGAGAGCTTAAAAGCCATGCAGACAAATGTTAGCACAGCATTGAGCCTTCATGCCGATGACAAATAAATAGCCTAAATGCAGATGTAAACCATGGTTTGAAATTAAGATTAAGGAAATTAAGAGAAAATTGTTCATCTTAATACTTCTAATAAAAACTTGGCAGAAATAAGATACTGCTAGTGACTGCTACCTACCTTCCTACCTCAACTTCAAGCCAAACTGATGCCGTTCATGCAATCATTCTTATTTTGAAATAAAATATTATGTAATTGTTATATGTATCAGCATTTAAGTCTTAAATTCATTGCTATTACTGAATGAGGTTGAAGTATAGTAGGGGATTGCTGTGTAAAAAGCAATAAAGGATGTGCAAAGGAAATGTAACTTGTGTTCCACAGTTTAATTTTCTCTACTACAAGCATTGCTTGCTGTCCAGAGATCACAGGTGTTTGGCCCTTTCCTCCTGAGTCTGAATTGAAAATCCATTGTTTGAAAAACTAATATCAGCCAAATCCTTGTGAAAATTGAGATTTTTTTTTTTTTGAACAAAGCATGCTGCCAGATATACTTTTAATTAACTGCGCTCCTAGTACAGCTTAATTACATTTAATTTTTGGACATTTATTCTTTTTGGAAAATAGCATTTTAATGGAAAGTCATATTCTTTGGCCTCTGAGGAGCAGATTTTTTTTGATTGAACTTGACTGGTTACACTTTGAAAATAGGTCAGTAACTAATAGCATTTGTATAAGGACTAAAAAGCACTTTATCAGTACTCATTAGCCATTGTGGTTATAAGGTCTCACTGTTAAAACAAACTTGATACTTTCAAGCAATAATAGGCAACTCCACAGTTCTAAAATATTGCATATTCATAACATAAACCAAAGATTGATTAAAACAACAGTTACAAGAGTTGCCAGGGGCCAAAATGTTCAGTCATCTGGATATGATCCAGTTTAGTTCATTATAAAGGGACAGATGCATCCAGTTTCTCTTCCTGCTGTACACAATTAATATATTGTTATTCTTCAGTGTGTTATCATAATCAGTTGGCATTTAGCCTGCCATCAACGCAAATCTTGGCGTAACGAAACCTAACAAGAGATTTTCATGCAGATAAGGAAAATTGTATACATAGCAATCAATTTGAACACCATCACTGATTTAAAACGAGCTGAACATCAAGTGTTTATCATGAAAGTTCCTTAGCATTTGTTTACACGTGTTTATTACAGATGTTTACATGGTGGGTCCTGATTAGCACCGTGTAGAGGTGGTGAGACCTTGGGGTTTTGTGTTTTTTTTCTTAACGCTTCCAAGTAATGGCCATGGTTTGATTTTGGAAAGGAAAGAATTATGCTCAGAATCAGTGTTGCATGCATGTAAAATACATTTTGATGAGTGAAAATTGATGAATGTAACAAGCAAAAATATATTTTGGAGGGCTGCGTGCTTTGTTCCCAAGGCTGTCATTGCATGAATAGGTGAGCAGCAAGGGAGCAGGCCTGCAGAGCCTGGTTGAAGGGAACGTGAGAGATTCAGGAACATTCTCAGTGTCAGCTGAGCATTTGCAATTAGCTTTCCAAGAATCACCTTTCACATGCTGTGAAATACATTCGAAATAGCTCTGACTTCTGATTAGTTTTCAGTGTGGGATGCTTGTTAGAAAAAAAACCCTGATTGGAACGACAGGACAGAATTTGATAGAGAACGATGGTCTGCAAACTACTTCTGTCAGTTATTATCATATCCTTGAAAACAACTTTTCCAGTTAGTGGAATCAATTGCTAATTCATGTTCCATCTGGATGCTTATGTAGTTACTTAAGATACTGAAAAAATTGCCCTTTTTTAGTAGTGCTTTTGTGGAGATGGCAATGAGGCATAGGCATGGTCTAAATTTGTTCCTAAGTGAACCCAAAATTATCTCATCATTGTAAACTGTGTCCTTTCTTGCTTCTCTGACCTTAAAACCTGTGTGCTCAGTGTGTGCTGCCCACTGTGCCACTGAACTACTCCTTGTTCCATCCTGGGGCTGGTTGCACTGTCCCTTTGTGATGCTGATGTGCAAGGTTCATGGTCTTCCACCTGGCTGTGGGTACACCTCCAGGTATGTGTTTGCATTTAGCAGGGCAGGTATAGCCTCTCACCATCCCACCATGCCACTTGCATGCTAACAACAGACCAAGACTAGCTGCTATGAGCAGATTTGTAGCTGTTAGTATTTTGGATATTTTGGTCTTTGTTTCCTTTTTTTTAAAAAACACTTAAAATATTATTTTTGTAAAATAGTCCAGACTGCTGCAGGAGAGAAATTGAGAGTTTAATAACTTTCAAAAATACTTAGAAAAAGCCTCTGTTGGGTATATTGTCTTATTTGTTCTTATGTGTACTCAAAAAACAAAAAACAAAAACAAACAAACAAACAAAAAAAACATAAAAATACCAACAAGCAAATAAACAAACAAACAAAAAAAGAAAAACAACAAGAAAAAACCCACAACAGTGTTCATCCTTGCAGAGTTCATTTTTCTTTCTTAAGAGATGGCGTTCAAAATACCACAGGCCAAAATGTGAGTTTTCCACTATTTTCAGTGGTGTAATTAGAGAAAGTAGAGTTATTCAGAAAATAAAGTTTACTTGGCCAGGCTGTGTTCACTGTACTCGTTGACTGCTTTTTGTGTCCTACAACTTCTCACATTGCAAAGAAGCATTAGATGAACTTTGTGAAAATTCTGGGGAAAGTGCTGCTGTGGTGGAAAGGACAGTATATGCTGGTGTACATTGAAAAGAAAAACAACAACAAATCTTTTGGAGTCATCGCATGAATTTCATATATTTTAAGGGAGAGAATAGCGAGTGAAAAATTCTCCACATTTTTTAAAATGTTTTGTTTGTTTTAATTTTATAATTAACTGAAGTCTAATCCTGTTCAAGAGATGTTACCCTGGAGGGGAAAATCTAGTTACTTGATTGTCTATTTTGTCTTGGCAAAACCAGGCTGGTACTTTTTCTTATATTCAGAGTTAGGAATGGTGAAAAACAAGTCATTTAAATGATGCAAGTAGATGTCTTTATCTGAACACCTTATGAGAAAATAATATTCTAAAACTATTGGTTCTTGAAGACTCTATGTGAAAAAAGATCTTTTAAAAGATCCCAAATGACCATATCATTTTTTTAACATTTTTTTCACATTTTATTTGAATGTAATTGCCCTAATTAAGTGTAAATTTTAGAAATTTGTATTGCGTAATTCATTGGCATGTTATAATAAAGCTGACAATTTTTAATAGTGCATAAAAAATACTACAGCAAACACTGAGATGCTGTCTCTGCAGATAAAATACTTCTCAACAAGGGCATATTTTGAGTGCATATCCATAGCTGCAGAGTCAGGTTAAGATGTCTGACTTGCCTAATCCTGTGCTGCTCTGTCCCTAATGCCAGCACTGCTGGGTCTGTAGCCAAGGGGTGATTGGCTGGAGGAGAAAGACCTGACTTGAAAGATAAAGTATTCCCCAACTCCTATTCTCTTGTGCTGAAAAGACAGCAGGGATGCAAGAAGCAGGAACAGTAAGAAGTCTGGTGTAGGATCTGCTACAGAGTTGCTGAGCATCTGCACAAAGTCCAATCGTGTTTGAAAATATGTAGTTTTATCCTTTTGAAAGAGAATCAGAAAGTAATAGGAAAGTATTTATTTAGAAGAACACGCATATTAAAAATGGTTGTTATTGACTGGAATGTCTTTTTTTAAGCGTGTTCGTTTTAAATTTCACAGAAGTCTCCACGGTGATAAAATATTCCCGTATTTCTGTCAGTTAAAAAATGATTTCCCCTGTTCAGTAATTCTAGATAAGAATATTTAGTTCTAGAAAAATTGTGTGATGACATTTTCTACTCATCCAATTTTAATAAATTTGTATATGACTTGGCTAAGTCCTTAAGTCAGTCTTTATAACAGATTTTTTGAGAAGGCAGGACAGAAGATTAAGTATTTGGAAGGCTCATGCAGTTTCTTGAATCAACAGAATTTACTTGTGAAGGACAAAAGATGTAAGATGTGGTTGCAAACAATTTCCGGAAAATAGTCAGAAAATTATATTCATTTAAGTTGAGCTTTTCTCTTTAAATGTGAAAAGAAAATCAATTTGATAACATTTAAGATCTACACAGTTCCATGGAAAGTGTAAAACCTCACCTGAAACAAACCTCTGAAGTTTTATTCTATGTCTGATTAAAAACATATTTGGGACTCCCATGGTTTTGAAGTGATTTGTGAAAGGCCAGCCACTGTGTTCTGATAACATGTTCACTTTAGTCATAACTTTATTTTAACTTCTAATTTGAAATAAAGATTCTTCTGCCAGAAAATACTGAAAACTGAAAATGCCAAAATGAGATTCTTCAAAATGTAGACCTCTACCATCCCTTTTCACTCTGAGCAAAAATGTATCTTCTCAAATTTGTCAAATGTTTTGTTTGAATCAGCATTTCCGCAGCATTTCTTAGGAGTGTGGAGGTAGCATGAAAGAATGATTCAGTATTTTTTTTTATTTAGTAATTAGCCCTGGTGAAATTTGAGTAAAAGTACAAAAAATGATTATCACAAAACAAAAATGAACAAAGACTCTGAATCTTGAGGAGTTTGAAAGCTACAAAACCTTCAAAAGAACTGCAGATGAAGTAACTAAACAAAATGCATTACAGCTGTCATAAAATAAATTCTTGCTAGATGATGATAGTATGAAACAGGATTTTTCGAACTTTCCTTAATAGTTTGTTTTAAAGAGCAATGAAAGTTAAAATTGTGTTTTAAATAAGGAATTATTAGTTTTTATTATTTCTTTGTCTGATTATCTTTTGTGTTTTTGTCTTTTTTAGATCTTGATCGTTATGGCAAAATCTTTCAGCGGTGTGTGGTATATCCAGCTACAGGCCGGATGATCTACAGTCATCTGAAACATGATATATACATTTCCTCTTCCTTGTTCATGGTGAGTTTTGTTCTTGTATTGCATAGTTGATAAATACCTTTTTTATTTACTTCAGAGAAGGAACTAAAATCTTACAATAAACTGCATTGGATGGTGCTCACACTGTTTTTATTTGGATTAGCCTAGCATTGTTAATTTAACTTATGCATAGAAATCAGTTCTTAAGCTGTTCAAGGATTTTTATAAAATCAACTTGCAAAAATTGCCTCTCTCTTTAGATGACTTCGGAGCTATGCAAATATCTTTATACACACCTTTAATTGCTGTTTCTCCTTTCAGATTGAAAGCATTTTTATCTCAGTGTTCAATATTTTAGGTCAAAATAGATTCAAGCCAAATGCTTTTTTTTTTTAGTATCAGACATATCACAATGTATTTTATGTATTTAAGGGGAAAAAGAAAAGCAACATTGTTAGAAATATAATTAAAAACATAGGAAAAATATGTTGGAGAAAATATTTAGAGGAGTTTTCAGTTTTGTCTTTGTATTGTCTATACTTTATGCCTACAATTATTCCGCGTGTAGTATCCATGAGTAGTGTTAATAATGTTAAAAACAAGGCTTTGCATTGTACAAGAAAACTTCCATTTATGCTTTCCACAGAGTCCAGACATGCAGTAATGTGATCCAAAGCTCAAACTATTCATTTGGCTAAACGAAAATTTAACACTGACAAACCAAATTTGGATGTCACAATGTTTCACTGACTGTTTTTCAATACACCATAAAATAACAGCCCAGAATCCTGCCCAAATATTAGGTCAGTCATTTGAGGTTAAAATTCTTATGGTCTTGTCCTTCTCCTTTATAATAAAGGATTTTAACCTGGCTCTTACAGCAGTTTATTTGTGGTTGATACCAAATTTTATGAAATAGATGATTGATTAGCTACTGTTAAAAACTATGTGTAAAAGTTTGTTACCTTATGTGTAGAGTACTAGTTGGAAGAAAAGGTCTGACAAGCCAGCATGAAAAGTATTTTTTATTTCCACTCCTGTTCTAGATTTCTGAGTCCTTAGAAATATGCAAGAGAAAAAAAAATATCAGAGATGAAAGCAATGAGAATAGAAAAGACAAAACAATGGAATTAGTCAAAGCCATTCTTATGATGTGCTTAAGTACTGTAATGAAGTAACACAGAAGCAGTACAGTTTCCAAAGATGTGTTTGCACTTGATAATGGAAAGACATGTTTAAATATCCTGTATAAATGGATAGGGATATTTGCCAGCAAAATTCATTACTGTTATTTTTGGTGGAAGTAAGTTATTTACACAGCGAAATGGCCAGAGGTATAGCACGCTTTTTTCATCCTTTGGAGGACACCTTTCATCTACCTCTCTTACCAGTGTCAACCTGGCTTTAAATTTCAAATGACATGCCTAAACCAGACAGATCTGATACCAGAGAACCAGATAAATAGCAAAGAAAACATCACCTCACTTGTTTCCACTGGCAAATTATTGGAAAAATGTGATACTGTCTGATGGTTTTATCTAGTACCTGTTGATTCTGTAAGGCAGTTCCCCGGGTATTCATTGAGTCCTGCATTGTTCCCTAACCAGGCTTTTTATTTGCAGAATTAGCTGATTTGCTTCAAAGACTTGACCTTTTCTTTTCTCCTCTTCCTTATCAGCAGTGTGCCATGCATTTCTGAGCCTGTTTTTGCATCCTGAATGTGCACTGATTCATGGTGAAATAAGGGCTTTGTGACAGGTCTGGTGGAAGGACTAACCTCTTTAAACAGAGAAAAGGGTGTCTACTCTGTATGTGTTAACACTGCAGGATTTTGTCTCCTATTACCGAGATCTGCTGCATCACATTTTACTGAAATTATTCTGTGTCCACCCACGTGAGAACAGAGTACAGTCTACAGTGTTTCCTTCGTGACCAAACTAAAAAAAAAAGTCATATTTTAAATTCTTGTTTAGGAAATGTCAATGTATGTTGTGCATATGATTTAAAAAAACAACAACAACAACAACAACAAAAACCAACACAAAAACCCACACAAGAAAAAGCTTCTTGCTTTGGCAGTCTATTCATCAGTTGTACCCTTCAAGCAAAGAGGACAGGTGTGAGAAAGGCATGTTCATCTCCCCCTCACTATCATGCCCTCTCAGCTCGAAGTACAGATTCTCAATAACCCAGAAACTTAGCTCAAGGTTTCTCTTTCACTGGATTTAATTTAATGTGGACATAAGGAAGTAGACTGAATGTTACTACACGATACAAATTCTGGAGGATGTTTTCCTACCACTGAAGCAGGAATGTTATCTTGAGACTAGATGGGCCTTATATGCTGAACTCAAACCCTACAGAAGTAGGAAGATTCACGATGGGAATAGACATACAGAATCTGTAAAATAGTAATTTATAATCATAGTAACAGTACCAGTTTGCTCCCAAATCTCAGACTCCTTTCGTTAGACCAGGGAAACCTATTAGAGAAAGATGTGTTGAGCTGGTGGTGTCAGCCTTTTAGAGGGTGTGCTGAAATGCAGGAAGTTACATGAAAGGGAGTTGGAATGTCTTACAAGGAGTACTGGAAATGTAAAATTTACAATTAGAGCACACATTGTATCTTCATTTTGATTTAAACCAGCTGATAACAATTTTGGCATGTCTCTGGGGATGAAAAGTACAGCCAGCTCCACTGAGATTAAGAACAGACAAAATGAAACAAAATCTGAAACTTCATATAGTGTTTTAATATTTAAAGGCTTTTTTTTTTTTAGATTATGAATATGTAAAGTCAGCACAGAATGACAAAAAAAAAAAAAAAGCTGTAAAGAGCAGATGCTAGCTGCTGTTTAGGAGACATTTATGATAATCAAAATTAGGATACATAAAACATTAAAGGTCAGAACATCTACAAACAAGATAAGTGGGTGAGACCATATGTTAAGTTACAAGAATAACTGAAGAATTTTAAGTATATGATCTCATTATTTGGAAGGCAACTGAAAAAAAAAAAGCCTAGAAAGCTCAATTAAAGGACTGCACTGGGTATCCCAAAGCCTGAGTACTTACAAGCTATATTTTGGAGCGTTACACAGTGTAGACAACAACTTCTAAGGATAACATCAACAATTGCTCGGTGGTGTTAGAACTATATAATCAGATTTTAAAAGCAAGCAAAGAAACAAAAATCCAGAAAACCCACAGACCAGATTATCACAAAAAAAGACAAAACTTGGAGAAGGTCGAGCCCTGGATCTCAATTTCAGATACCCTTCTTAGCTCAAAACAACCTCTGTCAAAAATCACATTCAGAAACTCCTTAGACCAATACTAAGTAATGGAGCAATTGGGTGTTGGATGTTTATGCTGCTGAACTCTAGTTTCAGCCTCTTTGCTAATGGCTCAATGCAGTTCAGTGTTGTAACTGAAGTAAGGTGTTTTATTTCAGTGTAAATCATGGCCAGTAAGTATGAAAACCAATTTTTTCTTTGTTATTCCCATTGCTTTCTTATTGTGAACATTCATTGTTCAATAGATTAATTTTTGTTAGGGTGTTACTCCACCTGTTCTCACATAGATGCCTACACTGAATCTGGATCTATCCTTGTTGCATTGCCTCCTACTGTACTGACCTAAAACCAGGCCAGGACCAAATGACTGCACGCACACACCAATATGATGAACAGCAAAATGGCATTTATTACACGTGAACTCTAGCTTATATAACCTATGTGCTTCGTCTACGCCCCTAAGGGCACGTGCCACACATCAATCATAGAGCAGGGAGAGGGCCTATCGCGTCACATCCCGTGGGGGGGGTCTCGCAGTTGCTGACAACAAGGGTATTACTCCACCTGTTCTCACATAGATGCCTACACTGAATCTGGATCTATCCTTTCTGCTATGCTAACTGGTAGCTGGGCTTTCTGAACACATCACAGGCTTCCTCTGGATGCCAGAGTAAATGGCATAACAGGTACACAAAATGAATCAAAATGAAGCATGCATTATTTATGGAAGTAATCACAACCCTGCTGAGACACAGTCTGCTCTGTGATGCCTGCAGCAAATAAACAGAAACAGATGACTAAGTGTCAGCATTTGTCTTGAAAATTTCTGGTCCAGGTGAATTTGAACCAGGTTTTTTGCTGTGTCTGAACATTCAAATAGTTAGAATTTCCCTTCACACTTTTCCCTTCCTTCTGTACTTCATTATCAAACAAATACTGTGTCTACCATGTGTCAAGACTCCTGGATACCTTTTGCCACAGAAGCTTCAAAAACTATGGAGAAACTCTTCTCAAAGTTGGTTATTGGTTAAGGCAAAGCTCAGTAACACAGGAGGTATTACTGTGGGTTTGCACTCTGTTAGGGATTTCCTGTTAGTAGGGAATCTTTAATAATGTTATATCATAACAGATCAGTGCATCATTTTTCTTTTTTATTTCCTTAAGATACAACCTGTGTCCTCGTAACATGACCATAAGATTTGGTTTTAAATGAACTGCTGCAAGAAATTGCTTTATCTGAATAGAAACAGTGAAAGATTTTCATTTGCTGTCAGTTTGCATTTGTGCATGGTTTTCTGCTGAGTTCACAAACTCTGCTATATAACTTCTGTGGGCTTTTTGCATTAAAAAAAAAAAAAAAGAAAAGAAACGAAAAGAAAAAGAGAAAGGAGTGAGAAGAGTATGTATGGTAGTGCTGCTGTTGTGTTTAAATTCTATACTGATCTGAGTAGCATCATTTGTGTGCTAGCTTGCAAGGCAGGAGATGTCAGTCATTGTGTCCTCACCATATCTTTTGGATTTCTCTTGATTGTTGGTGAAAGTCAAGTTTTTGGGAACTGCTTTCACATGATGACAGACACTAGTAGTCAATATATTTTGATCATTCACCTCCAAGTTTTGTTTACTTCGGTCTTGAAGTTTAAGGTGAGTCTGCTGCCCAGTGCTTGTGTTGACATTTCTAAGGGCACCTGAGCTGGCAGGACATGGGACACACAGTGTCACTGTGCGTGGCATTACTTCTTCTGC